CGCTGCAATTGCTTCCAATGTATAGAGGGCTCAGCGCACATCCAAATATGAAGGTGGGAAATATGGCGCTTGGAATGCACGACATTCCGATGGTTCACGCAATGGAAGCCTCTCAGACTCTTGCGGATCCGCACGCGCGACAGTTAGGTGAGGAGGATGCTAGGAGGTGGGTTGCATACTGGCGCAAGGTGGGCTTGTTCGCGAAGCAGAGATGAGTTAGACCTACTATAAACGTTGGAGGGATGGTAATGAGTTTGTGATGCTGGTCTCGACCGGATGTGTCAAAGGAATACCGGGGAAGGATGCTTAGTAGGTACAAAGTTGATCAGCATATATACGTATGTCGAGTAGTGGTGGAGTGTTACATTGATGTGTGTTGATGGGAACTAGTCCTTCCGGCGTGATGTCTATCAGGTACACATTCTGCGTCGAGTCGAAGATGGAGGGGACTATCACAGGAGGATAATATCAACAACCTTGCAGCTCAGTGAAGAACATCTGACACTCGGAGCAATGGGAAAAGAAGAGCGATCCACGCCCGCAACCTCTCGTCTTAGGTTGTCACAGTGTCATTCCTTGCCATGTTAACTCCCGCTGTAGGCCTGTACATCGGCCCGACAGGGTTTGCTCCATTCGTTCAGTTGGCGATGGCTACGATATCGCAAGGGTACGCGGGTCGCGACAGACAAGATGTATATTGGAAAGCCTCGATGATTGTGCTGCTGGAAACAAAAGATTCATCCACGCATATAAACATTGCCTGTTCACTATTACCAGGGCCTCGAGGTTGGTATTGTCTTGCAAATAAATTGCTGCAGAATTAAAGCGAAAAGCTATGTAGATACATTGCATCAGCAAAAGTATCTGAAATCCGCTATGCCCTTGTGTTTATTACAACCGAGAGTAAATACGATGATACCTTACAAAGTCTTATAAATTTGTTGTAAATCATCGCGGAAAATTTCTTTCTTGGCCAACATTCAAGATTTCAGGAATATGTGAGTCAAAGAATTGCGTACACTGAATGGAAGAGCCGCGAATGTAAGATGATATGTGCTAATGAGCCAGGTAGACACTGTTCTGGATGCTCAGGTCGGTGGAGATTGGCGGGCCCAGGATAGCAGCGAACAGGGCCGAGTTATTGAATGCGTCAATGAACTGAGCAAGACTTTTTAAAGACGGACAGCAGGACGTTCTTGTGAAGGGAGGGCTGGGAACTGAGCGTCGGCGATGACAACGGCGCCGGAGCAGAAGTCATTGCTGGAAGTGCAGACTCAAAAGGGTAGCCGAGTTAGTGGTTCTGGTGCAAGCAGTGGAGTCCAATCATACAGCATCCCCTTTTTATTCTGAGCGCTCTGTCCTGTTTGATATGGTCTGAATACCCGGGCCACGGCCACATCCGATTCGCCCTACCGACTCTGCGGCCGAGTAGGCACTGGGTATATCATACACATGCCATCGAGGCACTGTGAACACGATCATGATAGTCATTACTGACTCCGTAAAATCATGCAAGCCGCGCTTAGTATCTTATTTCTTAGATTCGTGCTGATCGGAAAGACCACACATGGATCCAGAGCTCCGTGCTATACCGAGGTGCGAGTTAAGGCATCCTGTGCTTCCCAGAATCCTGTAATTTGTTCAGTCTATTCCTCGGGGCGGAAATGTACGCAAGCCTCTCACGAGTAGTGTGCTGTCGCTTTTGCCCTCGATCTACTGCCAATGCCTCATCCGAAGCATGGCCGCCCCGACATGTTCCGTCTTAGTCGGCCGCTAAGCTGGAGTAGCACCAGCCTTCGGAATCATCGCCGACTGTGTCTGCATGACTTTTCCCAACGCCTTCAAATATTGATACGCCAAATTTCTGGCCTCGGAGGTTCCTATATCGTATTCTAAGTCATGCTGGGGTGTCTAGAATCTTGTCATGCGCGTTTTTGACAGATCCAAGTGGACGAGTCGGCGCTCAGGAGTCACCAGCCAACATTCAGCTCGGCATCAAATCGTGATCTAGAGTGAACGCATTTACATGCAAGAGTTGTTCTACATTTCCTATCAAAAATATGTAACGTCTCAACTTGCTCGTTCACATGCTGTGGAAAATTTAACTTGCGCCAGGTCAGCATCCGTCTATACCCAGTAGCGAATCTGTACCCAGATCACAAGGCTACCCTCGGATATGGAAGCACGTAGCTGCTGACAGAAGATGCACTGGGACATCCTGATCATCCAGCACATGCGGTAACTTCTCTTTCCCAGTATGGACATTGGAGTACGAGGACGAACTTTCTGTGGGTTTATAAAGAATCATTCTTAGAGGCCACAGCACCCCACGGCCTCGTCTTCGCATATCGTCGTTGAACTTGGTCTTCAGTCATGGATCTATCCATTCCTGTCCTGGTGGTACGCTTATCTGTTGTTTCAACGTCTTGTACTGTCAGAGGTGACATATTTTAGGTTGGTGCGGGCCCCGCTGGTCTCACTATGGCGCTGGCATTGGTCAAAAACGGAATTAAGTGTCGTATTATAGATAAAGAATTTTCTTTTCACGTCGGATCCCGTGGATTTGGAATCCAGGTGAAGTACTGCTCATTCAATATTGTAACATTACATTACTCACACATATTCAGCCTCGTACCTTTGAACTCATGGAATTGCTCGGCATCGTTGACGATGTCTTCAAGCTCGCAACAGACATCCCGACTATGAGAGCTTATAAGCCTGGCGGTATTGAGCCTACGAAGACGTGGGATCTTTACGAGAAGACTCAGATTCGGCCAGATCGCCCCTATGTATGCGCAATGGTCTCTTCCTGATCATTATTTTGACAGTATATTCAGGGAAATGGCAAGTGTCTCAGCCAGTCGGTACTGGAAGAAATATTTCGCTCCCACCTAGGGAGCTACGATTGTCGCGTCGAGTTGGGGACAGAACTTATTGGTTTCCAGCAAGATGCTGAAGGAGTCACCGCTACAATAGTCCGGCAGGGCACCTCTCCATCCAAAGAGGCTGTCCGCGCTCAGTTTCTGGTGGGTGCGGACGGTGCTAAAGGTATGGTGTAGTGCGATAAAGTGAGTGCGATCTAATCACTGGCCGAAGGGATAACAAGGAAGCTGCTGGGGCTGACTTTCCAAGGCGAGACTCGTGATACTGATGGAATGGTTTGGGGAGATGTGGAGATCCAGGGACTTAGCAATAATGTTCGTCGTTGCCCTGCGTTATTGTCTATCTGCAAGCTGATTTTACATGTAGTATTGGCATATTTGGGGTAAGCCAGGGCAGTTCACGTGCGTGGATTTGCAGATTCTCCTGGAAGGTCATTGATACCAGCATTGCGATAGACTTCTGGCTCGGCCCACCACACCGAATGGCAGCACATTTAGCATTGGAGTTACATGTCAGAATTTTGACCCAGTGGACCTAGCCAATGCAGATAATCTCATCAAGTTCATACGTGATGAGAGTGGTATGAAGGAGCTTACGTTCGGCACGTTCACATGGCTTTCGTACTTCAAGTAAGTGGCCTATAGCGCGATATCATAGTCTAGAGGAACCCTGACAATATGCATAGACCAAATATGCGCATCGTTAATAAATTCAGCGAAGGCCGGGTATTCTTAGTTGGAGGTGGGTGGTGTGTACTGTCACCTCCAGATGTTCCCTGGCTCATAAATCATTCAGATATTGCACACGTTCACTCTCCCACCGGCGGACAAGGAATGAACTGCAGCGTACAGGATTCGGTAGTTCGACATCGTGAGAGTGTGTCCGCTCGCTGACGTATATTGTACGTCTCTAGTACAACTTGGCATGGAAGATTGCGCTTGTACATCAGGGATACGCAGATATCTCGCTCTTATCCACCTACAATGAAGAACGCCTTCCGGTCATCACGCAGATGCTACATGCGACGACAACTCTTTATACCCACACAGTCGCCAAGAAGAAAGTCAACAGTGAAGAGCAAAAGGACGATCCCAAGTCGAGCGGCTGGTTCAGATGGCGCAACAATGCTCTGCATCTGTATGGTGTCAACTACAGGTGGAGTTCCATCACATCAGATGAGAGGGGTACCGATGGTCAAGATGATGAAGATATGAGGGCACTCGCCTACGAGGGGTACAAGGGTAGCGTCCGCGCGGGAGACCGAGCACCTGAAGCACCAGGACTGTTGGATGGTTCCGGAAAGGAGACCACCCTATTTCATCTTTACAGCCCGTCGAAACATACCGTACTCATCTTTGTCCCCAAGAATGCTACGACTGAGGTCGTCGTCGCTTCGACGAAAGTACTCTCGGTCATTCCTTCTGCCATTGTCCAGAACTTTATCATCTCTTCTACGTCGATGCCGAACATCTACGACTCTGCGGACATCCTATTCGATGGCGAGGGACATGCACGCGCTGCATACTGTGTCGATCAGGATGAGGTAAACATTGTGGTAGTTCGCCCGGACGGTATAATTGGTGCATTCGCTACGAGTGCAATGGGTATACAGTACTACTTTTCGAGAATATTGAACCAGTAGAATTTTCTCGTTATCTTCTTGCCCATATGGTACTAATAAAATGTCGAGTAACAATTTCACCTGTGCTACCTGGCAGCACAGTGATACGTTATTCGCTTGTGTACATAGCAGTCGAGGGTTCTAATCGATAATCGTCTACATCAGGAAAAAGGCACCCCGTTAGAGCCGCGCTGGAGTTCCGGAACGGTTTTGTATCAGCCACAGATTGACCGCAGATTTTCTGCGCAGAGTTCATAGCAAGGCTACCCGGAGTATTTATGACGGCTCTAGGTGTGTTGTAAACCTGAGCAGCATATATCATAAAATGGCGGTGACTCTTGTGGTGCTTTTAGCAGGTTCTGACAGCTGAAGAACGACTGGACTGATGGAATCGGTACAGCATTTCCGCAGTTTCCTACTGTCTTAATGCTAACCGTACTCAGTAGCACGAAATCAGAACGATGACGCACAGCTCGAGGAAGCGTTTATAACACAGATACACATACAACATCAAAATCAATTACAACACAACAAGGACGGTATGTCCTTTACAACCTTCGATAGTCTCCAATATTTAGGTGCCCTTTGCCTGGTCTTTATATCAGTTGCCGTACATCTTCCATATTATGCGATATACTACTACTCACCGTCACGCGCTCAACGAATTTGATGAGAGCGGTGACAACCTCGTCTTGATGTTCATAGAATAAAGCATGAGCTCCATTCTCGACCATAACCACATCCATATCCTTGAAGTACGGGTTCATCTCCTTCACCACTACGTCTCCTATGACCTGCTTGTCCGCAGTGCCGTTCAACACCAGCAACGGTAAGCCCTTGCGGCCGGCTTCAAATAGCTTCTCGGGGTCTTGAGAGCGAGAAAGGATGAAATTGCTCACGTCCGGAGTTTGAAGAATGGCCTGACCAATCCAGGACGTCTTCACGGCGAAGTCGACCTTCTCTGGATGAACGAAGAGCGAATCCATGAAGGCTACCTTTGTGCGAGCGTACAAAGCTACATCGGTCGTGCTCATCAACCCAGGAAGCAAACCAAGGACGATGGGCGTCCCAACACGCTCCATGATAGGACCAACGTAAGGCAAGGCGGCCAGATATACAATCCCCGCTACGGTGTTAGCACCGAGATGCTGCATAATATCGCTTGCAACCGTGCCTGTAAAAGGCAGGTTCCCAAGGAGTGGATTTAGAATAGTGAAAGCGAACTCACTGCCGTAGCTCCTGCGAAACGAAAGAAAGTCAGGGAAACAGTAAGATTCAGTCACAGAGCATCTTACCAGCCACACTGCACCGGGTTTTTCAATCTGAAAGCGCTTGCAACTGCAGCAAAATCATCCGCAAACAAGCGCGATTGATATCCCTCCGCGTTTTCTGGTTTCCCGCTTCTACCGTGACCACGTAGGTCGTAACGGACCTGGCAGAAATATGAAATGGAACCGAGACTAGAAGGGCAGCAATCCTTACCAAGTACAATTTGTCCAGTAGGCGTCGATCTCTGAAGAGGTTGTCAAAGGTTGCGGCGGATAAGTTGAGTCCATGCACAAGGACCAAAGCTGGATTGCTGGGGTCGCCAACTGCTTCGGCATAAATGACCGTACCGTCGCTGGAGCTGATGGTCTTGACGATAGGAGCGGACGACATCGTGCAGGGAAACTGATGTATCGGCTATGAGGGGAAGTGCTTTTGTAGGAGCATGCGGAGGAGCGGGTGCTCGACGGATGGGACCCAGGGTTGTGGGACATGATCAGGTGTCCTCGTCACAAAGACCGACAAATGGCTGCCCATTGAGAATAACGCATTGCTTTTGTAGGAGTGGCATCCGGAGAAGCGGTTGCTCGAGTCGACGGATGGGACCCTGGACTGTGGGACATGATCAGGTGTCCTTGTAAAGGCCGACGAATGGCTTCCCATTGAGAATAGCGCATATACAAACTGGTCAACGACGGCATGTTGATGTTGGCGGGCTGTGCGGAGATGTGGTAAGCTCGGGGCTTCCCGCAAGGACGTCTTCCTTCAAGTTCTCGCCGACCAAGTTCAGTTACTCGGAGTTGAAAGCCTGATGCGACACCACCTTTAGGCGAGAGCTGCAGACAATCCGCTGTGGACCGCGGGTTCTTGAATATTGAGCTGGCCATAATTTAAAAACCGGAGGGGGCGCATACCATCATGCCTATACGCATGCCACCGAGAGGCGATCCATGACCTCGGCAACATCTCTGTATGGCGACAAGGATCGAAGACGGCCTGTGCATGGTCCCAGTCAGGTCACATAGAAGGCAATTGATAAGTTAATAATTATTCAGGCCGACCTACCAGCGAAGCCTCTGAGATGATGTGAAGGACGGGGAATATTAAGTTAGCATATGGAGGTGATACACCCGGGCCGGCGCCCGATGCCTCCCTTTGACGCCCGAATCCAAGAGCTTCCTCGCGAGAGGAGCGTTCCAGTTTCTATCCCGATTGGATCAAACTCAATAAGTAACAGCTTCTCACGCTTCTATGATTGAAACTCGACAAAATACCATCCGGCATGCATATTGCCTCCGGACAGGTGTGAATCCACGAGAATTCGGAGATTGTTGAACCTCCTAACGATGCGGCACTGGCAGCGCCACATGATAGTTGGACGCACATCTTTTGGAAAACTACCTTTCTCACCTCAATGTGTACTATACAGATGTTCATTATAATCAATCAACTGAATAAACCGTGGCATCTAAGCATCTGCATCGGATAGGGCCTGCGCCGAAGGTGCGACTCGGAAACGGAGACTTTATTTTACTAGTGACAGATGGTGCATGTCCGAACTGCTGACAACGGCTACGTGATACTCAAAACAAAGGCTTCTGAGCGTAGAATATGAAGAAACTCATCTCTGCGCCCTCAGTGTTGTCCCACTCCTCCTCGACCGCATCAAGAAGACTCTCCCACTCTTCCTCAGTGTTGACATATCCTAATCCACCCGCGTTCAGCACAGGGCTTTTCATACCCCTGAATACACCCATGAAGTTCTCCCGAGCCTCGATACCGACCTCCCCGGCCCAGCTCCCGAGTGATATGGGCCGCTTGTCTATATGAACGTTTGAGAACCCAGCTGCGCGCAGCATGGATGGAATGCGGTCTGAACAGTCCAGAAGTAGACCCCTTTTCACGAAGAGCTTGTCAACAAGCGAGCGATGCTTCTCTGTCGTCTTTCCGGCCTGCCAAGCACCAGCTTCCCCGAGCTGAACCCAACCTCCTGGAACCAACACCCTCATCATTTCCTTAATCGCTTGTCCCCATTCTTCGGCACGTAAAGCAGCTATCAAAAGCCTCTGGTGGACGAGCGTAAAGGTTGCAGTCCACTCGGAAGGCAGCTTGGTAATTGTGCCGATGGAAAAGTTCATGTTTCCACGAGTTGCAATGAGCTTACTGTCCATCGGAAAGAGGCGAGATTCAATATCAATGCCTTCAAGAACAACTGCGTTCGGCACTTGATTGATGGCATCCAGCAACCAAACGCCTTTCACAACGTCAGCTTATGCGCCGACATGCAAGGCCGTGATAATACGTACCAGATCCACATCCGCTGTCCAGTATACGGTCCCCAGCTTCGAATGATATTTCAGGCATCATAATCCGATTTTCGAATGTGCCAGCCAGCAAGCGATGCTGAAGGGCCAGTCTAATGGGCAGGCGGTCCTCAATGGTGCGATCTTAACTTGAAAGCATGATATTACCTGTCTCTCTCTGGGCCGTCAGAGGGTAGAACGTATTCGGAGCCAGGGAAGGATTGGTAAACTCGTCCTACATGCTGAATACGATCGATGTCCTCGGGAAATGCCTCAGTAGCAGGTCGGATAACTGTGATCTCCATGGCAATAGTGTGAAAGCAGCTGACTTCAGTAGTAAGGTCGTTGGCAGAGTGACAAGTTCGGTCCTAGGCCATATATATGAATGAAGTGCGATATAAATATCGGGGATATTTCATCAGCTTTCTGGGCAACTTATGCGATGAACGTTGAGCATGACAAACTTACCGATCTCTCCGTCTCGTGGGATCGGGATGTTTTCTCGTTTCTGTAATTCATTTTAGGAAGCATCCAGGCGATTAAGTTGAAATGCTGCATATGCGCCACTTGCTCGAAAACAGGACAGATTTGACAAGCCTGGATGATAGTTAGTCCCAACGCCAGTCAGAGCAACACCTGACGTTTTCGGCATACTTCAAATCTTACAACAAAAACGGGGATTCAACTTGACTCGGATGTGGTGAGAATCGATACTACCACATCTATCCTAAATCGACCCATAGCTGCGGTACCATTATCTTGTCTCTGATTTAGTACAAGGCCCGCTGAGCCTTCTTGGACCAACTAGCCGCATGCCACTATAACTTCAAACCAAAACCGTCACACATGCAGCATAGGGATGTGTTACGTGTGCCATGGGCTTGTGTCGAAGATACAGACTACCTCAGTGCCTTTCAAGCGTCCAAATCGTTCGGTGCGCACCTTTATTGAATACATATTTGTTCACGTTCATTGAGTTTGAACATTGGAACAAGCCCTGCGTGTGCGACACGTGATATCAATGCTTGATGTTGCAACGGCATTTAAATTATCATACCGTACAACCTAACTACAGTGATATCAGTGGCCCGGGCTTCTCAGATCCAATTGTCTTGAGTAGACTTGGGATTGACTTAATCTCATACTCCCAGGGAGGTGTTTGATGATGACTGCTAGTCGACATCAGATTGTTTGAAAATACAAATCTTTGATTACTATCATGATGCAGAACGCCGGTCGCCACCGAGTATCCTATTCAAAATGGGAGCTAGTAATGATGTTAGTTCCGATCAGCGTTCGCGTCTTGTATGTCTCCCTATTTCTCTCTTTCTGCTCTTACTGATATACCCAATAGGCATTCTGAATCCCAAGGATCTAAGTGCACGGAAAGCGTTCATACCATTTCCAGTTTGAGCGACGCTGGCATGTTTGTCTCTCACGCGGCAAAAAAAGGCAGTATACAATGGGAAGCAAGATTCCTTCTTATACATCATCGCTTGTTCTCTGTGAGTACCCGCGGCTTGTCTTTTACTCAGGGTCGCAACACCGAGATCCGGGAAGATGCAAATGTCGCCGTGTTTCTATATGTCCTGAACGCCGCACAAACATCTCAAGCTCATATTTACTTAATTATTTGCTGAGTCAGTATCCGAGTTGTCCGTGCTATGTACTGGTTCGGTGTATTGGGCACACTGTCAGTATCAAACCTCCGTTGGTGTCCAACTTTCTCATATCCTTTGAAATATGTCTGACCCGTCTGTTCGGCTTAAAGCACTACCTAAATTTGCCGTTTGACTTCTGTACTATACAGATGCAGATGCTTCTGCAAGGCGCATTGCTGTTCGACCTGCCCACTTGGAAAGATCAATGCGACTAGTTGTGCAGGGGGTCATAAGTGAGTCCCGTTTTAGACTATAAGCCAGTTGCAAAAAAAATCCCGATCAGCAGAGGTCGGAGGGCTGCTTCTTTCTTCCAGAGAGGACGGATCCTCTAGTGGGCAGACAGCTGTCAGAACCCTGCTTATCGTGGAGGCGGAAAGTGCAGTCGCTGCGGCCATGATGATTGAAGGGGATCCTTATTATACATCGAATGTGGTGAGTCTTATGCATTTTTGAGTACGGAAACTAATCTGAAATAATTTTTTTGACAGGGGGATAAAAAGAGTGTGGAAATCCTACCCTTTGTGAATGTGACACCTATGGCTTAAATTGGGAGACACTGCCGGGAGACACGTACACGCGTAGGAACGATTTGACGACTCGGATCTTTGGAAGGCAAATGAGCATGTGGCTACTAGTACCTGTGGAAGAAATGCCTGTGGAAAGAAATAACTAAATACCTTGGCCAATAGGGGTGTAAGACGCTCGAATACTTTTCCAAAGTTTAAATTTCGAATAGCAGTACTAATTTTATCTGCTAGCACGTTGAGGGTTTCCACATGTCAGCGTAAAAGTAGACAGTATAAGCGGGCTCTCAGCTCAGTGCATGGTTGAAATTTTACAGATGCCTCGAGATCGTGGATTGAAAGGTGTTAGGCCACCGGATAACATCGGGCGTCTCGGTCGGCAAAGTGCACAAACAGAAAATGCATATCGTCAAACTATCAGATAAGCTCAGATCTGGGCGGAGTTTATACTCCGAGAGATACATGCGGAGTGTGTCGAATATAACTAAGTAAATGTCGCCAGAGCAGTAAGCACTCCTCGCCGTAAACCTACTCCCTCACTGAGCGAGTTAGATTTGTGTCTGGTCATCAGCGTTCGGGATCGTCTTCAATATTTGTACAGCTACCTCGTCCGCACGGTAATGGGCCAGAAAGTCCCAGTAACCGGGGGTTCCTGGGATCGTTTTCTCTAGGACGATGTGGCGTTCCCTGCAGTGATCACGGAACGCATTGACCCTCATAAAGAAGCGCGGCACTGGCGGCCGACGACTCATCGCCCTTCTCGCGATCGGCAGCTGCCTGGGTGAGTATTTCCGCCCATTAGAATGTAGCCACCATCGGGTGGAGGCGCAGAAAAATGAGCACGTCGTCTTCCGACCATCCTATTTGGCGTCGCACCTGAGCTTGCCTCAGGCTATCAGGGGCGTAATTCTGAACACGGCCCGGCTCGTGGCGTAACCAGATCGGCCCCATTCGAACAGTAAATGTTCCCTATCCTCCAGAATCCCGGAGCATGGGCAGTTGTGCGGGCCTGGAATACGGCACTCATCGCGATGCGATCCTGTAGGTAGGTGGTTCGTCAGCACTCGACACGCACGCGCCATCTCTCGATTATCCTTGCCCAAGGCCCTGATCACATAAGACCGGCTGGCGACGTGGTGGAGCGGATTGTGGTTCGTCATGCATTCATGATCCACATGTCACGGCCCCGATATTTATAGTACGAGTAATGTCTCTCCCACTTTCGCTTTGCGTGTACGAGGGTGTCCGCCACAGCTCGCGCCTGGGACACAAACTCCGGTTGCTTCTCTTCGAGGGCGTCTGGGCGGAGTTGGGGTTTATCAAAGACCGCAGTTATGGATAATCCTCCTCCTTGCGCGAAGGGTTCGTGCCATTTGTGATTTGTGAAGACAAAATTGCATTTCTCAAAACTTGAACTTAGAAGGGCTCGCTTACGGCTCACCCGGCCTCCACATCCGTTTCTAATCAACGTCAGGCCTAACGGACCTGGCACAGCCTGTACGATGCACGTTGTTTCTGCTCTCTATTCTGAGTCACCTCCTCTCAGATTAACAGCCCAGACAAGGCCGCACTGGTCGCAACAACATGTGCACGTTGCGGTCGACTCATCGGTGCGGTTCATAAGGTATGTTGGCGCTGCACCACTTGGTAATGCATCATACATATGGTCCATTAGCTTCTCTTTGATTTTCAATAACTGTCGCTGTCAAAAAGACGTAGCATGCGCAGCAAGTTTCAGGGTTGGTGGCGGAACTTCGCTTCAGAACCGGTATGATGTACTTAGGGATCGCATGCTCGGACCGCGTCTCAGACAGTTTCCTGTTTTCCTAAGGCTAGTTAATTTCCTATATTCATTTTTGAATTGGTTGGTGATTATCTGGTATCTTGCCACTTAGATAATCAGTTCTTTGAAGGTGTTCCGAGTCGCGACATAGGCTTGATGAACGAACCTGTAGCATGTGGACAGAAGAAGTTCATGTGGCTTCTGTAAATGTGTAGGACCATCACTCTGCTGGGCGAATGTTGCTAACAATCATCGATTCATCATCTAGTGTTGCATCATACATTGCTGGCGCGCACCCTGCCTGTGTTGGCTTCACATAGCATAAGCAAGGTAATATTATAAAAGCTGTCCCTCCGTTCCGCATTCCTCGTCTGCATACCTCTCAACCATGTCCACAGAAGCTGCTGTTCCACATCTTGAGCAGACATTGCGCAGTAAGTGCTTGTCTTCGGCCCATTCAGACAATCGGTTTTAGCTGAACGGTTATACACAAGTCGTAAATTTTGTTCTTCCTACGACATCGATATGCTTAACCATCATACGGCTTTACGACCGAGCCGCTACCCGTCGTCTCTGGTGGGATGATGCTTGGGCTGCTTTCACAATGGTTTTATCGCTGGTGTTTATGGTCATTGTTGAGCTGTTTGTTCAGTACCACATCGAGGCACCAGGTGAGTTCCAGATGAACTTGACGATAGCTCATATTGACGGCTGTCATTTTGAGATAAATTTCCCCAGGATGTCAAGATCTCCATATACTACATGTACTTCCCTCTCCTGTTTTTCAACTGCAAACTGATTGACAATAATGTGGCAGGTGTGATCAATTCTTTTACTTGGTTGCTTGGTGGGTATCGAGTTTCAGCATATTAATGAATATGATACTGCACAGACCGTTGCTTACTGAAATACTACAGGAGCGCTCGAATCTCCATCCTGTTTACCATCATACGTTTAACGGTGCCCGGAAGGCTACGCAAAGGATTGATCCTTTCTGCGTGTGCCTTTGGTTTGACCTGGGCTATCCTCTTTGCCCAGGTCTGGTGGGTCTGTGAAAAGGAGCCCGGATGGAAAGAATCTCCGACCCCTCAATGTGATCTCGGGAGAAATGTTGCGATAGCGCAGGTAATCGGTAAGTGTATTATTTCATGAGCTTGATCCACTACTCATCCATCCGCTGATAGCTGATGTTCTTGGTGATTCCATACTCATTGTGGCACCAATACGTCTCGTTTGGGGCATCAAGCTAACAAGGCCTCAGAAGATTCGGGTCATTGCCGTTTTCTCATCCACGTCCCTTACGACCGCTGTCAGCCTGAATCATGCATCATGGGTTCTTCGGGACGGTGGACTGATAGAGGCTCTTGCCTCTGTTATCCAGGTGGGCATACACAATACCTACGTCTTTTCTTGCCTGACCATCATGATGCGTCGCTAGACGTCGGTTAGCCTGATAGTTGTCAATCTCAACGTGCTCGTCGCCTTGATCTTTCGCATTTCAAGTGATGACCATGGGGGAAATGTCACTCCTTTGGACATGAAATCCATCCTTACCTTTGGCCATGGACGTTCGCGCAAGCAGGGGCCGAATGTCAACATTCTAACCACAACGTTTGTTTTAACGGATTGCGAGACAGCGCTTGGTACATCAGTTGCGCTAGACACATTTGTTGATCGTGGTTATAAAACAGATGGTCCGGGACATTCGAATACTGAGCTACAATTTCCCGCATCCGGAGATGTCAAAGTAATGACTGGGACTGATACTATGGACACTATGCACGTCGAGCTCACTGATAATAAACGTTCTTGTGATATGTAGTAGTATGTCTATGGTATGTCTGTAGTAGCGTCCGCTTGCTCTTTTCCGGTCTCGTCGTGTAAAGTCTGTCTCATGCATCAGAAAAATCCGAATTCTGCTTTATTTGAATTAGCAAGTCTTTATGAACTTAGCAATTTATTTTACCATTCTTGGATACCTTGAAAAACAACAAAGAATGACCATTAAGGCTCAGCCAGGTAATATGGTAAAACTAAGATTGTTGAAACACGAAAGAACATTTAAAGCATCATCATTTACACAAGGCTACAACTCTATTTAGAAGTATTCACAGAACAAACCTACACTTGTGTATTGACAGAGCGCGGACTGGGGCCATAAGGCAAGACAGCAGGACGTAGCAAGCAGATAAAAACTGAAGCTCAATAAGACTAGTAAACTCGTGAAGTAAATAATATAAACAGGTTGAAGATAGCGCCTGGAACGGCTTGGAAAATCGCCTCAAGCCGAGCGAGCCACTCGACGTATAGGACGAGCGGGACGTCAAACACTCTCGCGACCACCGCTGCGAGCGTGCCCCAGGACGCTGGGCAGGGATGCACGAGGTGCACGGTATGCGTCATACTTGAGGAATAGCGGAGCTCTGTCAGTGCAGCCGCCGCGATGTTGAGCTGGATCCACGCTACGCCCCATGCGATGTAGTATATAGGCACAAGAAATGCCTTCGTGTGAGTCTGTTATGAAGAAAGAACATACCCTCTTGTCATCTGGGAAGCACTTGAGAACTGGTGCGCTCTGCACTAGGGATGGGAACCACTCATGTGCGTTCCATGCGCCGTCCGGGCCTCCGGTGACTTGCCCGACGCGAACGACCATGATGGGGAGCGCGGTTCTGGCCGCGGCCTCGTACAGGATCCGTTCGGAAACCCATTTCGACTCTGCGTACCCTGTGCCGACTGCGTACTCTGCTTGTATGGGGGCCTCTGGTAGATCATCGCCGTGTCGTGCGTCTACGCAGTCCGTCTGAGAACGTCTTCAACAGACTCGCAGAGACTGGCTTACGTTGGAAGACACCAACTGAACTTGTGAACAGCACTTGTGGAGGCCTTGGGAGAGGTGACGTGAGTGCCAAGTCGATCAGGTGGCGCAAGCCGCGGACGTTCTGCTCGAAAGACGCAAGCGCAACTTTGAAATCGACGCGCCATGCTGTGTGTTCCCAAGTCTACGTGAACGTCGGCATGCAGAAGGTAGACGAGTGAAACGCACCGTTATGCACGACATGCGTGACGGATCCTCGCATCTAAATTGACCAATGTCGTATCGTGCGTTTCAACTTGAAACACACACTCACCTCTTCATACAGCTCGACAGATATGCCGAAACCCTCATCCGCAAGCTCTCCTTCCACCAGTGTAAGCCTGTCTGAAGTGACAAGGTCCGGAAGGCCTCGGTTGATCAGAGCCGATCTCTGTCTCTCGTGCAGGGAAATGTGGTCTCTAGACGGTCTGTTCAACGCAAAGACGTGGGAGACCTTGGGATCTGACAAGAGCTGGGCTAGGATGTAACAGCCCAAACTACCAGTTGATCCGGTGAGTAACACAATGTCTCCTTCGCTATTCTCGGCAGTGACTGTCGCCTGGTGTGGAGGGAATTCTCTCGTATACTTGACGACCATGGAATGCATTGCGTCGATGCGGGCCCCAACGTCGGCCGCGACGTTCTCTACGGTGCCAAGCGCAATGCTGAGCGCGAAGTCCGCGAGTTGGCCGATTGTAGGATGTTCGTACACGGCATTCCCAGGGACTTTGCGTATGTCTGCCTTCGCGATATCACGAAGCGCCCTCAAGAGCGTATTCCGAATCCGAGTTGCCTGTAAGCTGTTCAAGAGCTCAGGTCAGCCAAGAGTGATCGACGCCAATTGAGAACCTCACCTATCACAACCGTGATGAAACAAGTCGTCATGATCCTTTATCTCGTGCTTGATGATTTTGTTTATAATCGTACGTACGAATTGCCGGCTGGTCTCCACGTTCCATTCGGTGGGGGCGGGTATATTTATTTGAGAGCTCTCTTCGACGAGATTATATGCGGCATTAATCTCGTCTTCGTATTGGGCGATAACCGCTGTGCGGCGTATGGTACCTTTCGCCGTATGTTCAAATGGCTTCGCAGGATTGGCCACCAAGACCATCTGTACAGACATCCGGTTTGACATTAACTTCAAGCTCCTAACAAAACAAGAGCGCTTACTTCCTTGAATAACCTTGAGTGCTGTGGCGCATATGCGTTGACCTTTTCCATTGTCGGCCTTACTTGAGATCAGCAGTCCACTCGCATTGTACCGGCTATTGTAGACGTACCATATCATATTTCTGAATTCCGCTAGCTTCGTTTCGTCGGTAGGATTAAACGCGTACTCGGCTTCCGGTTCGATAAGCACGCCTGTTTGAAACCGTCCGCGGCCGAACATCACACATCCAGCGATATGTTCGTCTTGCATCATCATGCTCTCTAAGGTTTCCATATTGTCTGAGGATCGCGAACTCGTAAGTGAGTAGGAAAACTGACCTAAAGGACCAGGGTTCGTCTGGAGAATGATCATTAAGATATTGAGACTTGATAAGAATATGCGCACCTTTTCCCCCGTACTATGCATGATTTGATCATCTGTACGACCCACAATTTTCCAATACCCAGGAAGGGTTGGATGTGGCGCAAGGCGATCTGACGTTGCGTAGGCATCGGCACCATCAACCTTGGTATTGATAATACATGGATGGAACTTCTCGTTTTGCTTCGTGAACGCGAACGATGGTATTCAATGGGATGTCATTGAACCCTCGTGTTGGACAAACTCACCACAACAATTAATTCGAAAGTATTGTCTCCTTGGGGCGACATGTGTGTCGTGAGAGCCCTATGCAGTCGTGTATATTCCCAGTCAGGTTGAGCGCTACCTAAAAAGAGTCAAACGTTGATTTACGCATTCCTTCAATAGACATCAGCTTACTTGTTATTGCTAAACTGCCGGGTCCAATCTCTGTTCTACAAAGAATGATTCGATGAGCTCAGCATTGCTCAAACAGTAGACTTACGACCCATAGCCAGTTACAATGGGGACTCCCTGCGCTACTAGGAAGTCCCCAACCTCCTTGTTTAAAGGTCCACCTCCAAAGATCTACCGGGAAAATACTTCAGGGAACGCAAACAAGATAAAGAGAAGCACTTACAACTAGCTTTCGCGTAGCAAGCCAGCTCACATAGTTGGGAGTACGTGACCAGGTCTTGATTTCACAGTTAAACAAAGATTCCAGAGGACATTGGGACAGACTACACACCTCCAGAAATGTGGGAATCGCCATAATTATGGTACTATCTGTGGCTTTTGCTGCATGTATGACAGTCTCAGAGGTAGGGACTGGTGGTGGTGATGCCGGTGTAAACACGGCAAGAATATTTCCACACGAACACTAAGGCATAGTATTGAATGCACACAAGAGTATGCATTCAGAGAAAACGCGACTTACGCAAAAGAAGAAAGTGAATAGGCCCATGGCATGAAACATAGGCGACATATGGGCAGAAAAGACCAGACCTGCAATATCGAGCTCGCCATAATAAGGGGTCAACAAGATTTCGATGAGGCGACTGTTTGAAAAAGTGATGGGCTTAGGGAACGCAGTTGATCCTGTACGAATGACGTAATTGTTGAAGGACAAACTGAAGTAACAGTAACTATCAAAGACACACCTGACGAATGTGAGATGAGCACGGGCGCATCAGGGCCTTGGAACACATATGGGAGCTCGTCAGCTGTAGGAGGTTCGGACGACGGGGAATAGAGATCATCGTAGGTGAACATAGGCGAGAGATGGGGCTCTCGTGCGCTCGGATTCTGTGCCTTGAGCAATGCAATCGCTTCGTTCGCCAGATCTTGTGATCCCTGCTCTAGTCCAACCAAAACATGGTCGACGCCAACTTGACCAAGTAGATGGGCGACCGCAGCTGGCGAATTTCGGATTGAAATGGGAAAGACCGTGTAGTTTGCACGTATAACACCCAGCACAGCTGTAGCGTATGGTATGGCATCTGGAGAATCCAATGAGTTGTTATTTTCTTAATTTCAGTAAAGACTGACCGGAGGTAGCAAGGATGGCAACTACAGGCACTCGACCGTTCTTTTCACTCCATGAGATTCGCTCTCTAGTCAAACGTGACGCAGTGCGAGTTGCTTTAGCACACTCTGACCAAGTAATCGCGCGAGGTCGAGAGTTGGCGTCAGCATGTAAGAAGATGCGGTGAGTCGGTGAGTATTTCTCGTGCCAGTCGATCATTTCTCCAAGCTGCAGCGAGCCATCTAGGGGAGGGGAGAGAAATGTTGCGCATGATACAGCCTGGATCCGTGGGGGAGGCGAGATAATGCGACGAGCGACCATAGCTGGCTGTTACAGTGGCGGTCAAGATGCGATCGATTGGTTGAAGTTGTGCTCATATATAAGTAAATACTCGGCTTGCGAGATCGGGTGCTCTAGTTGTCCCGAAGTTCCGACATTGTCCCCACCCAGCGCGACCGGGGAGCACGAGCTCAGCAGGATGACGAGAACACCGGTGGGTAGCAGCCCGTCAGCTTGATTCCCGTAATCCTGATTCCCTAGTACATAGTCCGTTGAACGGAGACTCCGCACTTACTTCCGAGAGCCTCGGGAGTGGCCAAATCATGTGTTGGGATTCGCACAGCGAAATACCTGGAGCCGCGCTGTAAAAGTGTTTGATACATGCCGACATCGGGATATACACCAACACGTATCTTCACACACCTTGTACTTCTGTCGAATGCACAACTGTGAACCATGAGGAGCCGGGTCACCGAGTCACGGATGGCAGCTCCACTGGGGATTCAAACGGAAGATGCTGGATCGCGATAACTCTCAGCTTTAGTTTTCTTGAAACCCGAGAACTATAGTCTTTTGGAAGCGTTTAGGCGCTAATTCGTTGTAGATTCACGTACACCGTTTGTGTCCCGCGCACGTGATCGCGTTCCGACGTCGAGCTTGAATTCTGTCAAGTCCTCGATTGCCGTCACGGGCCTGTACCATCCGTCTAGACGTGACGTCCATTGGTACTGGCAGCACTACGACGGCGTTTTGAATGAAACCATCTTGGTGTTCACCAATAGTTGAGTCTCCTGAGATAAGCGAGGAGTGACTGAGTACCCTATTACCTCACAGTGAGTCCCTTGATTATTACTGAAATGATTGCGATCTATTTTTCAACTCATGAACAGTAATAACTAGTATCGGACTATCAACATAGTACCAGATAATCAACATTCCGTCCAGTAATTGGAGGAATGGATGCTGGAGATTGAACCTTACATAGGGCTCGGCCCTCGCGGACAATAACGGTATTCAAAGAAAGAAGAAAGAAAGATTGAACCTTAACTTTTGCATCAAAGAAGCAAGGTTCGGACGCACAATGTATAGGAAACTCGCACACTCATATCATTCGACTTCATGCCTCTTCAACGTCCAGCCCTCGAGCAGACCTCAGGCTTACACGTGCCATACGCCCCTCGTAGTAGTCAAAGTCGCAGCATTGATGGCGAGCGTCATTCATGAATGCTATTCTCAGATACTAGCATTCGCGACATCTCGTTCTGATCGCAGTGTCTATTAATTTCACAGATTGGAAAGTTGGAGCGCAAGTGATAATCAATCCTAGTCAACGAGAACGCTACTTATATCAGGCCTAGGGGTCGGTGGATTCCCATCTCCTAGCTATGACACGACTCAGTACTACCCAGTCTTTTCCACAGACCCAAGGTCTCTCATCTGAGACTTTTCGTCCACCACCGCTCGATGGCACCTTGTCTTTTGGCTACATATTCGACTGGCACGGGCAGCACTCCCCTCAACATCCGCTCTTCAGATACCCTGATGATACTGGTCGGGTTCAAGACATAACTTGGTCCGACGGAGCGAGGGCTATTCGTACTGGTGCGAGATGGATAAGGGAGTGCGTGCCATTGAATCAAGAGACAGGGAAGACACCTGTAGTTGCCATTCTTGCTGCGTCAGGTAAGTCGACTTGATCTCTTGTACGCAATACCGATGAAACGGCTGGACGATTAGATTCCATACCGTACGCTACCATGGTAATGGGAATCATCCGCGCAAGTTACTCCGCATTCGTTATCTCAGCTCGCAACTCCCCTGCAGCTGTGGCGCATTTACTGAACAAGGTCGGCGTCAACTATGTATTGGTGGGAAACCAGCAGGCGTCCCAAGATCTGGCAAAGGAGGCTCTCAGATTGTTCCAGTCGCAGAATCCGGCTTCAGACGTTCCTGGTATTTTGCCGATGCCAGCCTATGCAGATCTCTACTCATCATCATCGGAGTACCCTTCCGTACATGACCTCCCAGTTTCGCCCCCCGATCTGGACGCACCCGCGCTCATTCTACATTCTTCAGGTGCGCGTCAAGGGGTCAGTACGACATGCTATTGACTACCGGTATTCCTATACAGGTTCTACCGCCTTTCCAAAACCAATCACCTACACCAATCGCCGCATGATCGAAATTGGGTCGATCCCATATTATGGCGAGATTGATGTCGCCGGCCTGGTGTTTTCCCTCCACATGCTGCCTATGTTTCACGGTATTGGTCTGATGTCTATAATGTGGGCGGTACGTTCTGCGATACCAACTTTGCGCAGAGAGTCTGCACTGAACGCTCACACTTCTTTCCAGACCACAAGTGGTATTACGGTCTCCCTTTTCGCCCCCAGATCCCCACCACTTTTCCCAACAGTTGAGACAGTCTTTCAAGCGGCCAAAGCGACCAACTGCGACGTCGTTGTCGCGGCTCCAGCATTCCTCGAGGTGTGTCATCCGTACCATCTGATTTTCATTGGCCTGAATCTCATCTACGAAGTCTTGGTCTCGTGTCCCTGAATGCGTCAGTTGGTTCACAACGAGAAAGTACATTGTATGTCTTGGACCAATTCGTCCCTTGAGTTTCCGGTGTTTTTTACACCGTTTTGATAGTGGTTTGGTGGTGGTCCGCTGAATAAGGAAGTTGGAGATTTTCTATTGTCACAGGGAGTTCCTCTTTGCATGGGCTATGGCCAGTAAGGCTATCAACTTATTCCTGACGCAGAAGTTATCTCACTCAACACTCTTGACAGAACAGAGACCGGGATCGTGTCGATATTCTTACCAGGTAAGCTTATTACTGTCAAAACAGTTAGATGAATCTAACACGATGCATTCGCAGCCAAGATACATCCTGACTGGGAGTATATAAAATTTCAGCGAAGAGTTACCACACACATGTTGCCTCAAGGTGACAATACGTTTGAGTTGGTAATAGTGGTACGTTTAAAAAGATTTGTGACGAAGCTCTTTACCATCTTGAATTGGAACTATTTGACATCCATTAGTCAAATGAGCAAGATCATCCTTGTCTCATCAACACCCAAGTTGATGGCGTCGACGCCTATACCACCTCGGATCGCCTCTCACCGCACCCTTCCCTTGCTGGCTATTGGAGGATCGTAGGTCGTACTGATGATCTTATTATGCATAGTACGGGAGAGAAGGTAACGTTCACCTTTTCACGTCTTGAATAGGTGATGGCTCAACAGATGTGTTAGACAATTCCAGGCCCTTTAGGTCAGTTTATCGTGGTTTGTGATTCGGAACGCTCAAATTGATTCATTCGGTGTGTTTGTGTCAGAGAGCATCTTGATGCAAGATGAGCATGTTGCAGGATGTGTGATGTTCGGCCGTGGGCGCTTCCAGACAGGAATATTAGTTGATCCAAAGCCGCAGTATGCGTTCGATCCTGTGGACGAAGACAAACTAGTTCATTATAGGAATATAATATGGTACGTAAGATCTCACTTTTGGTAGCACGAAGACACTCACAACGTCGAAGGCCAACTGTTGAAAAGATGAACGCCTATGCCCCGCAACATTCGAGACTATTCAAGGAGGTCGGCGATTCTACGCAAAATCTGCGATGCGCAACTAACATCGGCGAACTTTATATAGATGATCTTGGTGACCAGCCCGGGAAAGCCTTTCGAGCACACCGCGAAAAGCACGATTCGTCGTGCAGCTGTCATTGCCAAATATGATGACGAGATAAATGCAGCGTACGATCGCGTCGAGGAGAGTTCTCAATCCAACATCCCGGCTCCTGTCAATTGGGATACAGATAATGCTCGTAGCTTCGTTCGTGCGGTGGTGCACAAGGTCCTTAATCATAAGGTCAAGGACGAGGATGACGTGTTCAATCATGGCTGCGACAGGTAAGACTGATACTTGCTTTGTCACACATATCTGATGCATGTTGATCCTCAGCTTGCAAGCAGCGTGGATCCGCAACACGCTATTGAGGGCTCTGCGCGATACAACAAAGGCTAATGTTCGAAATATCACTGGAAACTTCGTTTATGAGCGCCCTACAATAGCACAACTGACGAAATTCATCGCCAATGTTGCACTTGGTTCCGTAGGCAGTACTACGGCCAATATCCCGGCGCACATAGATGCGATGCACGTTATGGTTGCTAAATATACCAAAGACCTCCCTCGACGTGGTATTAACGTGGCAGTATCAGCTCGTGGGGACGTTGTTTTGCTTACTGGATCGACTGGCGGTTTGGGTTGCTACATCTTAGCCCAGACATTGGCCGATCCGAAGGTTTCTCGAGTGTTCGCGTTCAACAGATCGTCGAGAGATGGCGTGACCTTGCAAGAACGACAGCGTTCTGTTCTGGTCGCTCGTGGCCTTCCCGACCTGGTCAGTTCCGAGAAGCTGACGTTGGTGGAGGGTGAGCTCGCGGATGAAAACCTCGGCATTTCTGATGAGTTGTACAAGGAGGTGAGTGATGAATACAACAGAGGTCCAGTCAGCAAGCTAATTCCCATTGTAGATGCTTCAGTCGGTGACACATATCGTCCACAATGGTGCGCTTCTTCCTCTAATAATCGCAAGTCTATGGCCTTCTGATCTACCATAACACGAAGCGTGGCGCGTTGACTTCAACGTAGCCTTAACTTCATTTGAGCCTAATGTCCGCGGGGTACGCCATCTGATCGATTTTGCGTTGAGGTCACCACTCGCTACGCCTCCGCGACTTGTATTTATAAGCTCGGTTGGTTTCCTTCAGAGTGTGTTGTCCTCGTTGGTCCCTTAGTACTCAGATTTCTTAATCCTTTTCATTGCTCAGATGCTCAGGATAGTAAGGATCTTTGTGAAGGACCAGTGAAGGCGGAGATTGCTGCCGGTATGGGATATGGAGAGTCAAAGTGGGTATCCGAGCGTATCTTGCACGAGGTGGCCGAGAAGAC